AACAAAAAGAGTGGAAATGGTTACGTAAGACCTACGCAATGGCTTGTGCGTGTCTCTCGACCAATAGGATCCGCTTTGAGTTCAGCCGTAATAGCGCGCCGCGGAGCAGCAGCAGAAGCCTCACAGCTCCGTGGAGGTCTTTCTTTGGATCTGACTGGCCAATGTTTGCCCATTTATATCTCGTCGGGCTGCTTTGGTTCGGAATAATTCTGACCGGGACGGGAGGATTGTGGCGCGATGTCGGCTCTGAGGGAGAAGCAGTGTTACGGACTGTCCAGCGGTAAACTAGACCTCGGCGGCAACGTCTCTGTTTTCCACGTAAAACTCACTGACAGCGCGGCAAGAGCCATTGGTACCTTTCAAAACGGCAAGGTGGGTCTTCACGCTGCTCTTCCTCTCGGTAAATTGCGCCGCATGAACTTGTTACGGGGCCTCTCGCTTGCTTTAAAAACGAAGCGACGGGGGTTGTGCTGTGAATTTCGGCCGAAGTTCACCGCCACCTTCCCCCGGAGGTGGTTGCTACCAACGAGCCCCCCCCCTCCCCCCCTTTTTTTTTTTTGTTTTGCCAATACATGTTGCATAATGCAACGCGGAAACATGTGTGTGTTGTGAAGCTTGTAGCAAGCTGCTGGCCAAGTCCAAACAGGCTTCTTGCAAAGTGTGAGGGCAGCTAATCAGTGAGGAGGATAGGAGAAGGAAAGTGAGGGAGGAGAAGCTGTGGGGGTGAAGGCTTGTAGTAGGAGGGAATATTTGGATCGGCCTGAAGAAACTCCACGCTGGTCATTGACTGATATTATACTTTTTTTTTTCTAAAACTAGGCCATGGCAGAGTGACTGAACTCAAAATTCACCATTTAACCCAGTTAATCACCACTGAACCAGATGCTGCAGGAAGTCTAACGTAACAGACACTTCCTCAAATCAGCAATTCCTTGTAACGAGGGTTGGAAACTCCTCGGTGAGGAAATTACTGCCACCTCTTTGAAAGCTTAAAGGTGAACCCCCCTCCGATCGATTTCGTCATAATTGGACCTGAAGTGGCGATGAGACAGAACGGCTGGGGGGGAAATCACCTAAGCCGAGACTCGGAGCTTTACGGCTCTTCAGATCACACTTGCGCGCATCACGCAGGAAAAAGTAAGACATCTGCACATGAAGCAGGGCCAGACCCTGCGCTGGCTGCCAGCTCACACTGCGCACTCAACAGGTGGACTCTCGATTTAAAAAGGTCACTTAGATGGTAGTCACTGCATACTTTCCATCAGGGCTGCAGACGTGTCACTCCTGAGCTTTTTTTTTTTTTTTTTTTAATTTCACTCAATGTGACAACGCATTTTTGTTTATTTGCTGTGTCATGATCTTTGAACAGATTTATGATGCTGAATCTGCTGTATGTTTGCATAGATAATCAAAATGATGTTTTTTTTAAATCATTTGTTTATTGGTCATAAAATCAAAGATGAATCTGAGGGATGGTTGAAATGTTGCACAGACATGGGTCATGGATGTATTTACTGTAAATAAAAGGACTTGCTAAAGAGTTCGTGCTTGAACTTGCCCACATTGTTGGCATACTTTAGGTACAAACCTCAATGTTATTCAGGTTTTATGACCAACACACAATAAAAGATTGTTTTTCTTTTTTTTTTCTTTTTTTTTTTTTACAAAGAAAGATACATTTATACAGTAAAACTGCAGAATACATTGCAAATACAGCTTATATATTCCAAGTGCTATGAACTTGCATTTTAAATGCTAAGGTAATATTTAGCCAGCTGGACAGAGTCACACGACATTAGATGATCACCGATCAAATGAAGCTGTCCAAAATATCAAATCTCAAGAGTGTAGGAAGCATAGATGGAAAAGACAAAGGAGAAAATAAGCATATATCACAATTGGTAACAGATTTAACAATCCAATCGCCATTGCAAGGTTGCAGGCTGGACAAGAAGCAAAGCAGAGAAACAGCCATGAAGGAAACCTGCAAAAGAATCAGTCAGCAACTTTTAGTTGGGGATCTCACAGATTTCTGCTTTATTTAGTGACGAGAAGGAAGTCATTATTGAATTAAAGCGATAAGAAGAGTGGTGTCAAACGTGACCAAAAGTACATTTTTTTGGCAAGTGACGCGTGCGTCAGAAAACTAACCCGTCACATTATTATCAACATGTTGACCCAAGGTGAAAGATGGTGGCATCATCAATCTGCATGGTTTTTATTAACCAAGGGCAGGGAAGTTGGTCAAATTGGAAAGAAAGATGGATTGAGCTAAAGAGAGGGCTATCCCGAAAGAAAACTTGTAGGGTTGATAATCACCCTCAGACGGGGAAATGACCCTCAACCTCCAGCCAGAGAAACAATCGAATCCAGAATCTGACAAGAGATGCACTCTTAAAGACCTGCAGCTCCAATGGCAGCAAGTACAGTAAAGATACAGAAGTCTGAGAATGAATGCATGCCACACTTTTCAGATATTTATTTGTAAATCTTAAGAAGGATACTTTATAAGTTGTCTTTTCTCTGCACTTGAAAATCAAACACTTGCATTTCGTTGGTCTGCTATACAAAAACCAAATGAATTGCACTGGTTTGTTTATGTAAAGTAACAAAACATGGAGAAGTTTATTGCTTTTTCTAAGTGCTGTGTGTTTATGTCACACTCGTACTGAATCACTACGCATAAAATTCAGCTTCTCTTGATATTCTTCACAGCTTCTGTTTTTTTTTTTGTTTTTTTTTTTTAATCTTCTTTAGAGCTGGTCTTCCCGTCCTACCATCACCTTCAGTGGAAATCAAGGGGTAAGATGAGCTGCTATTTCCGCTCCCTAAACACTGTGTTTTCCCTCGTATTGTATCTTAAAAGATATCCAATCTCCATTGTAGAGAATCGCCGTACCTTGCTCAGAAAATGGAAATGAAGCGAGGATCTTCACCTTCGGAGTGACTAACGTCGCTCGAAACAGTCCGCACGGAAGCTTCGACTGCGTCAAGCAGCACGACGCGGGGTAAGCCATGAAGGAACGGCCAGCAGAAACGCAAATATCGACTGCTTTATTCATTCTGAACAAGTGAACAGTCGGCTTTTCAAAATAACAGCCACCGTTGGGACCTTACCTTAGCATTTAGTCATAGCGGGTAACGTTACGCTGACGTTTAGATGTATATTCAGTGGGATGGTAGCTGCCAACGTTTCCAAATTCCATGTTTCACGCCAGACTGTGATTAATAGGAAAAGGTAAAGTGCCTTTACTATACTCTCCTGAGCCTTCCTGTTATCCACTGAAAGTCTTCCTCTCTGTTGCCGTCTTGCAGCCTGAACAAACAATAAGCTTTTTTTGACCTGTTGTAGAAAGTTGTTTATATTTGAAATAGTTTCTTGCATTCGTGTGAGCCCTTCAATCACGAAGCACCTCCCTGGTATTGAAAATAGCAACTTTTATTGTCTTCTTCCCAGTGGTTGTTTTTTAAGCAATTTGTCCATTTAAAGTGTTATTAGGTGAAGAAGACAACATTTTGAGTTCCTACTTGTTGATCTAGCCAATTTCTCTGAGTAGAAGATGAATAAAAGTTGGACTTTTTAATTCTCCTCTAGTAAAGAGAAGTTACAGTTGGGCTTCTGGTTAGGCAAATTACTTCCCTCAACAGCTAACAGGTCGTCTCGTCTGCAGCAACATTATCACATAAAGTTGCATTGTTGACGTTATCTTTGGATTTGATTACCAGAGGAAACCCGGGAAGCAGAGAAGAGAATTTAAATAACGTCGAGGAAGAAAATTAAATTCCCCGTGTCTGATTCAGAACTGACGCTCTTCAGAGCCGTTCCTAAAAACCGAATTTGGACTCGGCCGGCGAAACGGTCCGGCTGATGCAAGCGGGCATCAACTTAAGCAACCGGGTTAGGTTTTTATTAGGAGCATCAATCATGGCAGGCTGAATGCTGACTGTCTTCCCCCCCACCCCCACGTTGTGCTCTCAGTGCTGCCGAGGAGCTGACATGTCTCGGAGTGATTCAGAAGAAGATGACAGTCAACGCCACAGATGACTCGTATGATAAGGCTCGCCAGAGCATGACCCAGGCCGAGGAGGAGACGCGCAGCAGAGGGGCCATCGTCATCAAGAACGGCGCACGCTACCAGGGTAAGAAGAACGGAAAAGGGCTTGCATGTCTGCAGCGTGTGTGTGTGTGATTATACAACCAGAAACCCAGCGCAAGACAGGCGCTCGGCCTGAAGGCGATTCTCTCTCTGATATCCTGAAAACGCTGTCAGCCATATTGCATTGGTTGCCTTGGAAACACGTGTAGTAAACAGATATTTTAAGGGTTGCTTTCTGGTTTTTGTTTTTTTTTTTGTTTTTTTTGCTCTTCGGGCACATTTTGTCCCTTTTCTTTCTTGGTGATTGCATTTCAGTTTAGCACAAAGATGAACAGTGCGAATGCAGGACAATCAGTTTTGCTCTCTGCGTTGTAGAGCCAGCGCTTTAGCTTTTCCTTATTCTACCACTGTTGTTGCATATCCAACCACCAAACCACTTCCTCCTGAGATGATATGTTAGTCTCTGTCATCATCTCTCAGTGAACCTACACACACACAGACGCACAAATGGAGTTTAGCATGTTAAGATATGATGAGTCTGTTGTTTTAGAGGAAGCTTAAAGAGGGGGGGGGGCAAGAAAATCAACATTACTCATGCCAGGGTTGTGCAACAGTGTGGTTATGTCTTAAATTAGATTGCTACATCTGCTCGCTGTGCTCTGTTTGTGTCTTTCTAGCCTGACTGTGGCTTTCTGGTGGGGTGAACTGAGGTCTTTTCTTTTTTTATTCACAACTCTGCAAGTGGAGAAAGTTAAGATAGAACGACTTCCTCCTCTCATGTCTAATCTTGTCTAAAATGATTTAACAACCTCATTGTTGATGCATATTTAGTATAGACTGTGGGGTTTAAGTAACACTTTTTTATTTAAACTAACATAACATAATATGGGATTGCCTTTTGAATTAAAAACCTTTCTTGGTAAGGGCCTGTTTTTTTTTTTTTTTTTGTGGATAACCTTTTTAACTTCCGGCCTATTAAACTGAGTTTAGATCAGTCATCTCTTGGCTCCCATAGACTGATTGCTCAACACCCCTGAATTGCAAACATTCTTAAGAAGGTTGTAACATAGACGCTCTTGCACACAGGAAATTATTATAAACCATGACTAATACTAAATTGCTTTTCTGCTGCAAAATCAAACTTCTTCGTTAGCTCTTAAGGATGTAGTGGCACAGAGTTATTTACTTGGTTTACTTACTTCTCAAGTATCACATTTTATGGGTGATTTGGACATGGATAATTAGGATATTTTGTGATGTTTAATGCAAAAATTTGTACTAACTATAAAAAAAAGAAGCAAAGCAAAAAAAAAAAACAACACTTTTTGGCAGTGTGAATTATACTGCGCTTTAAAAAAAATTGTATTCAGCTTTTTCTGTTATCTTTACTTTTCAAATGTATCTTGACAGTTTCCCTAATGAAGAAGTTTCTGAAACGTTCAGGCTGGATAAAAATCTCCAGCGTGCCAGACTGAATCCTCTAGATTGTTGGAAACCTGGATTTTCTGCAAGCATCAAACCCATTTTTCACCTCTTTACACAAACTTTCTATGGGACTGAAATCAGGACTTTGTTTTGACCACTTTGTTGTCCTTAAGACCAGTGCTGTGCTGAGGGTCAGTGCTTATCCATGTGTGACGACGTTTTGACTTCCTGGCTGATCTCTTGAGATTCAGCTTCAGTATTTTATCATTGTCTTCATTCCTCAGTCCCTCCTGCAGCCAAACAGCCTCAGAACATAAAAGTGCCAGCTCCGCTCCCCACTTTGAGGTGTGCTAGCTTGGTTTCCTCCAAACCTGACGGCTAAACACGTGACTTTAGTTTGATTAGACCACGAGACGTGTCTCTACAACTTGGGGGTTGTGTCTCTTTTTGTGTATTTGCAAACCATAATCTGGCTTGTTGTGTTGCTTTTGAACTAATGGCTTCCTCCTGTCTGAATGGACCGTGTCTGTACAGGACTCGTCTCACCGTGGATAATCACGCTCTCTCGCCAGCTGCAGCCAGTTCCTTCACAAGGACCTTAAGCCTTTGTTCTGGGCTTTTTGCACAAATTTGCCAAAGCACAGTCATGTCTGGGACTCTGCACCAAAACTTGCCTGATAATGAGGAGGTTTTATTTTTAGAACAGTATTTGTGAGTGCGGTGCTCTAAGTGTTGCAATAAGGAATAAACTGACTGTTTATCTGGAAGGTGCTATGAACACAATTTCTAAACGTACTTATTGCTGATGCCTTTTTTTGTCTCCTCTCCCTTTTTCCTTATTTTCTTTCTCAGGCAAGAAGGTGACGGTGCGAGCTCCGGCTCCGGCGCTGGCCAAGCTGACCAAGCCCAAGCACTCGTCTCACTCCCTCCTCAACAACATCAAGAAGGGGGCCAGCCTGCCAAGGCAGAGGAAGGGTCCCTGTCCAGTGAGTAGGAAAAGTGTCGGTGACGTTGGGGAGCGGCCCCTCAGGGAGAGAGTGATGCACCTGCTGGCTCTGAGGCCGTACAAGAGGCCCGAGCTGATCCTGAGGCTGCAGAAAGACGGGATGGCAGACGGAGACAAGGACGTGCTGGACGCCGTGATGATGGAGGTGACGAAGTTACTTTGACGCTGTGGGAACGAATCCAATAAAACATCTGAATAAGTTTACTGCCGTTCGACGTGTGGTGCAGGAAGAAATTCTGACGGAGGTGGCCCGTTTGTTTTGCAGGTGGGACAGCTCAGTAACAGAGACGGCACGTTCGTCCTGAAGGACGGCCTGTACAAGGAGCTGCAGAAGGACTGGCCAGGCTACACCTCAGGGGACCAGCAGCTGCTTAAACGGATCCTCGTCAGGTAATAAAAACAAATCCTCATTGTTTGCTTGTTGTTCTATCAAACAGTTATTTGCCGTTTATTATATTTATCAATGCCGGTTTTCCAGCTGTTTGAGTAGCTGGAACACCTGTAGGGTTATTTTCTAACCCTATAGAAAATAAATCTCTAAGTAAGATCAGAGAGTGGTATGTTGTAAACAACATTACTTCGGTTTTAAGTCACGCAGTCATGCTGAAAGGCAGCTTGAGGATCATCATCATCAGCATCCTTCGGCGTTGCGTAAACTGACTGTCACCTGTATGAAGTCACTCTTTACCTGGAAATGTGTTCTGCTGGATGTTCTTAATAAAAATGGAAATGAAAAATCATTCAAAATGAGCAAAACATGAATCAAAAGGACAACATTCTCAGAACTGAAACGGCTTAATAAATCTAATAAGGTGCTCTACCACGGTAGGTTCATTTACATGGTTCCTCTACTGCAGCTCAGCTTTAGAGAATCCTGCACCAACAGACGCATGAAGTATAAAAGCCACATCGCTTGATCGGCTCGCGCATGTTAAACACAAACCACTGACGGCGTGACGAGAACTCAGCCTTAAATAGAAACCTGTGTGACTTTCTATTTGTGCCACCAACCTGAGTGCACAGTAAGATTGATGTGAGCGCATATCTTGTATATATATATTTTTAAACTGACTTTACTTTTAGTGTGACCAGCATTAAATAGCTTGTTTTAAGATCCACTGGCTGTTTATTTAATTAGAATTTAGCTGAAGTGCAAAAAGCATCTTATTTATTTAAATCATGTTTTTTGGTATTTGTTAAATATTGTCAATAATGACTTCCAGTAACCCTAACCAGATTGTTAAGTTTTATATCAACTTTTAACATGTCTTAGCACAAAAACACAGTTGTCTGTTGCTTACCAGCGGGCTTAGCAAGTTTTCTGGGGGAAACTCTGCGGCGCATCTGTCATTTACTTGGTTCCTTATTTTTGTGTTTTCCTGTTTAACCAGGAAAAAGCCGCAGCAACATTTTATTTCTGCTCCCTTCCTGCTTGATTGTTGATGTGCAATGCTTCCCTTGCAGGAGACTTTTCCAGCCACAGCAGAACCTCCTCACTGTCCCCGAGGCCCAGGTCAGCCCTCTTCGAGAGACCCCCAACTCATCACCCGCACACCGCCCAAAACACTCCCTCCTCGATGAATACGCCGATCCTCTGGCCAGCAAGAAGCCCAGAATATCTCACCTGACGAGCAAATCACCAAGCGAGAATTTCAGACTGAGGTCTTCTAAACAGGAGGCTCAGAAAGGCGCCGAAGCTGCAGCAGCAGAGGACGGGCGAAATAACTCGCTTGACCCCAAAAGACTTTTTGACTCGCTATCAGCAGTTTGTCAGCAGGAAGCAGAAGTGGCTAAAAGACTGGAGCAGACGGATGCTCGTCAAGAGGAACCTAGAGACCCAGAGGAGCAACAGAAACCCAAGTCGGATCGCCCCCCTCCGCCTCTGATGGTGCCCGACCTGAGCAGACACACGGTCAAAAAGAAGAAGAGCAAACACAAGCGCAAAGATCAGGTGAGAAAACGGGTGCCTGCTTCAAGGTGGTTGTTGGGATTTCCATTTTAGGTAATTTGTTGATGTTTTTTATGTTTTTTTTTTTGTTTGTTTTTTAAGGAGAAAGAAGAATGGAGAGACAAGAAGCATAGGAGAAAAGACAAAGATTGCAGTTCAGATTATTCAAATAACGATGCTCCTTTGCAACGCACAGGTGAGAACTGCCAGACTTGGTGAAACCGTTAATTCCTCTGTACTTTTCTGCTCACTTACAGCTTTTCTTTGTTTCTTTCAGAGACGAGTAAGCTAATGTTTGACTCCAACGTACCTCAAGTTGACACTGACTCAGCAGACTATTTATCGTAAGTTGTTTGTTTGACCTAGTTGCGTTCCTGCTTAAGCAATAGTTACAGGGCTGTTTGCTTTCCTGTTCCCCTGCAACCTGCAGGACAGCAAACACAGGAACGCGTCTTTGCAAAAACCTGGGTCTTCCCTTGAGGCCGTAATTTTATTCAAATTTTATGTGGAAGACGTAAAAAGGAAAGCGTTCGCAGGGCACCAAAATGTATTTTTTCCCAAACTAAAAATGCAAAAATCATTTTTAATAAAACGGGTCATTCAAAACTATGTGAGTTATCTCTTTCTATAAGGAGAAATATTTACATTTTTATATTCACTACTTCACTTTTAATAGTTTTAACTTTTGCAGCTTATTGTGCTACCGTTTAATTTTCAGATGTTTTAAGTGCTCAAAAATTTGAGCAAGCAACACATAAAATGATTAATATGAAATCCAGTTAATTATTTGCATACTATTTATCACAAAATTATATTGAATCGAATCGATTTCAAATTTAAATGTAACCCAAAGAATCTAAATTGGAGTTTATTGATACCCAGCCCTTGTGATTATTCTTTTCCATCTCAATAAAAATCTAAACACTCTTTTCTTTTTTATTTTTTGCTCTTATAATTCTGTTCAGTAGTTATTTTTTTGTAACTCTCTAGTCGACTTACAGATACGACTTTCAGGCATCTGTAAGTTGTGGTAGATCCACACCTTCTGAAGGATCCCGTTTAATGAAAATCATGCCATTTATTAATCTTTTTGGGTCGATTGTTTCACCTTCGAATAGGACAGAAAGCATAAACATAAAGTCAGAGCTACAATGGATGATTTTCTGCTCAAACCAGTATGTTTTTTTGTTTTTTTTCCCTTTGTGCAGGAAGTACACGGCCATTTCCAGCCACAGCCAGAGACAGAGCTATAAGCTGGACTTCAATAAGGAGTACAGCGAGTACAGAGACTTGCACGCTCGCATCGACAGCGTCACGCAGCAGTTCATGGACCTGGACACTCAGCTCAAGCAACTTCACCACGAGTCGCATAAATACAAAGTAAGCTATACGAAGAAAAATACACGGTTTAGCACATTTTATTGAAGGTGTGGATATTTCCTGCTCGTTCTGATTTGTGTGTCGTTGTTTTTTCTCTCTCACAGACGGTTCGGAATAAAATCCTACAAGAGTACCGGAAAATTAAAAAAGTAACTCTCCTCTTTCTTCACACTGCTCCTCAACAAATGTTTCCTCTGGTTCGCCTGGAGGTAATCGATTTTCTTTGTTTTCCTTGTTCGTCTCTTTAGTCCAATCCCAACTACAATCAGGACAAAGTTCGCTGTGAATATCTACACAACAAGCTGGCCCACATCAAGAAGCTCATATCAGACTTCGATCAGCAGCAGATCACAGTGGATCACTCCGGCCCCAAATGAAGCTCCCGGCTGGGGAGGGTACGAGGAGAAACGTCCCGAGGCTGCTGAGCTCAGCGCCATCAACCTGCAGCCGACGTGGCTGGAGCAACCTGCTGTAAACATCAAGCAGTGTTCAGACTAAAGAAAAGTGGCTTATTTTCTTAGAAAGCGAGGAGCTCTGCACCGACGTGGTGCAGACACGAGAAGTCGCTGCAGTTCTGTTCAGGCGGTTCAAACTGGAAACGGGCGATGAGATGAGCTGCTGACCCTGAAAGCATTTAGCAGGTCCTCATCTCTCGTTACACTTTGGTTGTGAAGGATGGCTTGTATGTTCTGGTTGCCAGGTTGGTGTTCAAGTTTTAACCTGAGAAAACTGCATGCTGTACATATCCAGAAAGTCCGCATGATTTGTCAGGTGAGGGTTATTTTTTTCTCTTAGTGACGGCAGCTAGGACAATACAAAGGCCTGACCTTCAGTGTTATTTAAGCTGGCTGAGCTCTTCATCTGTGTTAGCTGTTCATCAGTTTGGATAAAATCATTTAAAAATTCACTTCTACCCAGGACTCATTGCTCATCAACTGCGTAATCAGGGAATGTACTCTTGACATTCGCTGCAAGTGTAAATTACAAATGGTTGAAACTAATGTACAGAGCCGTCCATACTGTAAGCTGAGATGACTTAAAACACTGAAATGTGAAAATAATGCATGTTGTGTACTTTACAGACCGCATGATGAGTAAAACTAAAGGTATTGTCAAGGTTTCTAATAAATAATTTTGTATAGATTCAAGTTCTCATTTTTATTTTCTTGGATTCTTACTGGTGTGGATAACAGGATGTTATAACTTCTTGTGTTTTCTTTTGTATCAACTGATGATTGCCTTGTCCATTCATTTCTTTGCTGTTTATTATAGTTCTGGACGTCGTTAAGATAGACGTCATATGAGCATTTTTGACGGATGTGCTGATTATTCAAGGTAAAACTAGAAGCAGATGAACAAGTTTAAATAAGCTGGGGGGTTTTCTAACCTTCACATACAATATCAAGTTGTACACATAGACATACACTCCACTAATAAGTGGATAAATGTTCAAAAGGTTATGGTTGCATATTTGAAAAGGGAAAAATCACCTCGGTAGTTTAAGTTTATGGGACAGACCTGACTAGTAGTAAACATTGTTTACAAATTCTAAATGAGGTTAAAGTTGCAGGCCAATGCAGGTTTTGGAGTATTTATATTAATTATGGAATACACATAAATGCTTTATACAATAAAAAAGTTAAAAAGTGACAGGGTGGGAAAAGAAGACTTATAAAAGGTAAATGTTATAATTTGAATAACAGAAAGAAATTGCTCGATTTATTTGTATTACCTGGAAGACTCTAAATATTTAAAAAACAAAAATAAAGCATAGTGAAATAGTAAGCAATGATTGGTTGTTCAGTTACAACTGAAGCCTCGCCTATTGGCTGAATGTGCGAGCGGCCCCTTCATTGGCTGCCCCGGAGCTTTTTGCCCTAGTTACAACTTCCGGCTTTTGTTAGCATGCTAGTGGTAAACACATTGAAATCTGTAAATTACTAAACTGTCCTTGAACTTTATGAGAGACAGCTCGGGGTGATATGAAGGGAAAATACAGACGCACGGAAGGGGAAATGTGAGCAGTGAAATGAACGCTTACGGTGGGTTAAACATATTTTTATGTATAAAGTCAGTTAGGTCAGTGATAAAACACTCCAAGCTAATAATGCAGGTGTGTGTCGCTTGTGTGTCCAGCAATTTTATTTAGTAGGACAGCTTGTGTATGCTGCATGACCATTTCAAGAAAGAAATCTGTGTTACTAGCAGCGGTTGTAATTTTTTAACATAATTGTTATAGCTCACTAACTTTCCTTGTACCACTACCAGGTAAGAAAAAACAAACACGCAAATGTGTGACTTTCTTCCCACTTTTTTTCTGTGACTTCTATCCACACCTCCTCGTCCCCATCTTCTCAGTCATGTTAGGAGTTTTCCAGACGTCACAAAAGCTGAGGACGTCGCTGAGACTCCTGTCCAGAGCGGGACTCCCACCTGTTGACCTCCAGGTGCAGCTTCTTCTCAGGGGCCGCAGTCCACTAAGTGCGACCTTCTCCCGTAAGCTTCACCTTGGACCTGATGGACCCGCGTCGTCCCCGGCCGCTGCTCCACGGAGGCTGCCTTTCTCCAGGGTAACTGTGGAGGATTTGACCTTTTTCAGGAAGACACTGCCAGGCAGGGCCATCACTGACCCGGACCTGGTACAGTCCAGTAATGAGGACTGGCTGAAGTCGGTGAGAGGTGAATCCTAGAACTGCATGTGTCATTTTTTATTTTTTTACTTTATTTGCTTCGTTTACTGCATGTTTAGATCCTTGTGTCTGAGTCCTGCAGGGTCAAGTGAAGTGTTGCTGAGACCTCAGACAACACAGGAAGTGTCACAAATTCTCAGGTATATTAGTGTCTATATAATACTCTGAGATATTGTTCCATATTTTATCTCTTTAAAAATATAATATTTGAACACACTGCACAAATTTAAACTGGAGAGATTATTTTTTAATATTTGAAAAAAAATCTGAAAGCCCACCAAGACCCAACTAGTCAGCTACACTGACATGATGGAGGAAGGAGAACATTGATAATAAAAGCATCCAAGAGGCCTATTGTAACTCTGGAGGAGCTTGAGAGAGCAAGACCAAGCATATTCTGCCTTTGAGAGTGCAGTGACTGAAAGCAATAAGACACTTACCACAAGCTGTGTAGTAAACCTAGAAGGTAGATGAAACCACAGTGGCAGGCCCATCTTTTGGTCTACAAGCAAAAAAAAAAAGAAGAAGCTGAAAATCACCTTAAATGCATCACTCCAATGGTGATAACATGATTTTGTGGGAAGGCTTTTTTTTCAGGAGTTATAGAAGCTGCCCTCTTAATGGAGAGCCACATAGATGACCAGCAGAATAAAAATCCACAACACACTTCTAAGTTTTTTTTTTTTTTTAACTGCTTTGTTTAGGTGTGTCAATATGCGACAAAATGGGATACAAACTCAAGGACTGTGGCTATTTATGTAAGGCCCTGTAACCACATTGCCACTTTTCATGAGGACTTGTGTTTTCCTTCTTTAGTTACTGTCACAGTCGCAACCTGGCAGTGAACCCTCAAGGAGGTAATACTGGTCTAGTCGGCGGCAGCGTGCCTGTGTATGACGAGATCATCCTCTCCACCTCTCTCATGAACAGCATACTTTCCTTTGATAAAATCTCTGGTAAGGTTCAACCTTAAACCAGTCCCCGGTTTTAAGAAAGGTCGCTTGAACAATAACTCTTTAGATTCTCCTCCTCAGGTATTCTGACCTGTCAGGCAGGTTGTGTGTTGGAGAACTTGTCCCTCTACCTGGAGGAGAGAGACTACATCATGCCACTGGATCTGGGAGCAAAGGGCAGCTGCCAGATCGGGGGCAACGTGGCGACCAACGCAGGCGGTCTGCGGCTGCTCCGATACGGCTCCCTGCACGGGACTGTGCTAGGCCTTGAAGTTGTGAGTGGATGTGTGAGCCCACAACAGACGCACTCGGGTTTCACTGTGTTTATTCTAACAAGGGAGAAAATCAAGTTGGTGGCTAACATCAGTCCAGCAGCTTCTACCCCGGGTCATTAAATAAAATGCAATAAAAAAAAAGAAGAAACAAACAGACTACAGAGTAAATGGCTCCCAATGGACAGTTGATAGCAGTTGTAAAATTAAACACAGCTAAAAAGTACATCAAATATTAATGGTTAAAAACAAATATAATGCATGGCAAAATTACCCATGAAACACTGCATGTAACTCCAATTTTCTAGTGTGTGTGTATATATATATATATATATATATATATATATATATATATATAAATAAAATTTTACATATATATAAATTTTTTTAGGTGATCAATTGTAATTTTCTCCAAATACAAAGCTGTTATTTGAAAAATACATCAGTAGTATTGCTCTTAACGGTTATCTGAGGTCACCATATTGTTTTTTTTTTTTTTTTTTACCTGCAAGAGTCGTCTACAGTAGAAGGAGGGACCGGGTCGGTGGGCATGCTTTTTTGTCTGTCGGCCATATTGGATTTAACAAAAATAATTTCTTGCATTTGCAGATGATGGCCAGTAGTTGATAGTGTATTTTATGATGCATTAGTGTCCACTTCAGTGGTCTGTGTGCTTTTATAACATAAAAATGCACAAGATAAACTAATTCTGACAAACTTCACAACTATAATATTGTTAAAATAAAACTTGGATACAGATGTGGCTTTTATACCTGACATTGTTTTTTTTTTTGTGAGGATTGTGTAGTATTTGACCCAAAGCTCAAATTTTTAACGCATCTCTTGTTTAGGTACTGGCAGATGGTCAGGTGCTGGACTGTTTGTCCACGCTGCGGAAGGATAACACAGGATACGACCTCAAACAGCTGTTCATTGGCTCAGAGGGCACTTTGGGCGTCATCACTGCGGTCTCCATCCTTTGCCCTCGAAAGCCAAAATCCGTCAACGTTGTTTTCCTGGGTAGGAGCTTCTCCACGTTCGTCTCCCGGGCGTAAAAACGACAGAGCAGAGCAGTGAGCGTTTCTGCTTTCCTTTGTAGGCTGTGAAACCTTTGACCAGCTGCTGAAAACCTTTCAGCTCTGCAAAGGCATGCTGGGAGAAATCCTGTCAGCCTTCGAGTTCCTGGATAGTGAGTGTATGAGGCTGCTGAACACACACCTGAAGCTGGCCAATCCTATCTCTGGTATGCACACACATGCCAGTAGTTTATAAAAACGCATGACTCGCATTCTTTCACGTTACAACCACTAGCTTCAGTGTATTTTATCGGGAATTTATGTGACGTACCAACAGAAGGTAATGGATGCAGCTGCTGCTCGTCCAGTTGCCACGAACCTCTTGGCTACTTTTACTAGGAATGAAATCCTGGCCCTGAACAGAGCGGGGGGGGGGAATCAAGAGGCAACAGGGTTCAATACATATGACGACAGATTTTGCCTTCATTAATTGTCCCTGTAATTATTGTAATAAACGATAATATTTTAATAATAGTCTTTTTGAGACTGTTTTCAAGTAATATATTGATAATAACATAATGATGCAATTTCTCCCTCTCAAAGATGAATAAACCTTAATTTTGTAAAGAGCACTCGGCATTGGAACAGGAAGACACTTAAAATATCGAAAATAAAACACAACAGTACATAAATAATACACTTTTTTTATGTGTAAAATTTACTATTTACATCATTTTATTTCCACTTCACAGGTATGTACTGCACTACCAATTTGCGTTGAGGCACAGCATATAATCCCAGTCACATTTCTTGAAGCTGGTGGTTGTAATATGACAAAACGTAATCAAAGTTCTGGTGGTGTGAATTCTTTTACAGTATATCCGTTTGCTGTTTTCTGCAGATTGCCCCTTTTACATCGTCATCGAAACATCTGGATCTGACTCAGACCACGACTCGCAGAAGCTCCACAACTTTTTAGAGGAAGCGATGACCTCGCTATTAGTTACAGATGGTACTGTAGCAACCGAGGAATCAAAAATAAAGGTAAGGGGATGTTCTTAACACTTCACCTGTTCAACCAAATGTGACATAAAATAATAAGGATGGACAATATTTTTATCCAGACTCTTATATCTTTGCATCGTGGAGCGGTTCTCGTGTCCCTGGGCTATTAAAAGCACATCGGACGCCTACAGTCCTGCAGTGGGTGACTTGTGTTTTCATTCTAACAAACTCAGACACAGTGGTCTATTCTGAGTCACTGAGTAGAGAGTCAAAGCAAGCCCTGAAAATAGTCTCCAAACCACTGCAACACACCACTCAAAACTTTAAATGAGTGAAGTAATCAAAGATTGTCTCATCACAATCTTTGACCAGATTGTGATGAGACACAATCGCTGTTTTTTCAGTGCAGAAATCAGCTGAGAAACTTTTGGTTCAGGTGATTATGTTGACGTTCCTTCAAAATTTAACCATCACAGTCGGTCCTTTTGAACTAGACACACACAGAAAATCAACCAGTGACTGAAGTCGACCCATCTTTGGCTTTTTGATGGGAAACTCAACATTTGAACTTTTTCCAGGCAGTACACTTTCAAATCTGTTTTTGTAATAATCATGATAAAAGCTAAGATAACATAATGAAGATAAAAACAACCTAAGTTTTTTATTTATTTTTATGTCAACTAGCATGTATACATGTAAAACACATGTAAATAGTTCTTAACCTCATGGGAGCTTCATGTTTTGGACAATCATTTATGTTGTCTGGATTAGAAAATATGTATTTCCTAACTTTATTCCCTGTCCCATATTGTGTTAACATTCATGCCTTTCTTCTTTGTCGTCCCTTTCTTACTTCTTCCCTGCTTTTTTTTCTTCCTCCTTTCCAAATGTCATCCTTACCTCCTTCATGTCTCGTCTTTCTTCCAGGTTTTATATTTAAAGCCCGAACACTGTACACACGTCTGCCATAAATTCACAGTGAATGCATTTCATATTTTAAAATGAATGAAAATTATAGAGAATTATGGCTAATAATGGTAATATTCTTGGGAGCCTTTCTTTCCTTTTTTATATTAATGAAAGTCAAGCCGCGTTTCCTCCTGCTGCTGCTTTAGTTTTGAGAGCGTGAGAGCTGAATGACTTATTCAGACTTTCCATTTCCACCGCTCCAGACGCTGTGGTCAATGCGCGAACGTGTCACCGAGGCGCTGACTCACGACGGCTTCACCTACAAGTACGACATCTCCCTTCCGGTGGAGCGGATCTACCAGCTGGTGACGGACATGAGGGAGCATCTGGGAAAGCGAGCCAGGAGCGTGGTGGGATACGGACACGTCGGTAAGACCACGGGACGGGAGGATGAGTCGGGAGGTTTTCCGTCCTGTTCTCACGCTTCTTCTCGCATTCCCCCTTGTAGGTGACGGCAACCTCCACCTTAATGTCACCTCTCCTGCAAAGGATCCCGCCCTGCTGGCGTCCATTGAGCCGTTCATCTACGAATGGACGGCCAAGTTTCAGGGCAGCATCAGCGCAGAACACGGACTGGGCCTTAAAAAGAGGAATTACATCTATTACAGTAAATCAAGGCCAGCTGTGGCCGTCATGGGTAAAATGAAGACGTTGCTGGACCCCAAAGGAATCCTGAACCCGTATAAGACTTTACCAGATGATCTGAAGTGATTTTAGATGGAAATGTTCCAGAAGCCATCCTTCACAGCTTACTGTCTGCAATCTTCTTCGTAAGTTTGTAGTTCAGAGCTGCCACCTTTGCACGAAAACAACAATGAGATGTTTCTGGTAAAATTGTTGCAGTCTAACATTCACTTTGACTTGCTTAGGTGTGGCTTTTAAAAAGGACAGGGCAGACCTTTCAGTGTGGCTCAGAAAGAAAAGAAACTGTTAATTATGCATGTTAGTGTAACCTTTGGGCCATCATGATGCACCAGAGTAGAGCGATCAGCATCGGGTGACGTCCTACAGGTTTGTGTTTGCTTCAGATTGAAGTGGAATGAAACTGAGCAAAGCTTGGACACTAAAACTATAATAATCAGTTAATCGTCAAGCAAGAATGCAGTAAATGTTTTATTACATGTAAAAAAAAAAGAGACAAAGCGGTATTTTTCTTCAAAGCAAAGCCAGCACTTGTGAGCTTATTCCTTTGTACACCTAGGCAATGTTTTAGTTTTGAACCAGTAATATAAATAAGTGTCCAATGAATATGGCGCGTTTTCTTTTCCCTCCAGTTATTTAGTTGGCCTCTGCTGCGTCGCATTATTGAAGAGACTCGTGAAAAATCAGCTGCTGTCGTCTGGATGACGGAAAAAGGAAAAAGTAGCTCAACACCAGCAGATCCCGTCTATTCCTTTATGCTCGAGTTTCACACATTTAATGTGAGAGTGTGTGTTTCATTGCCCTAATGTAAAATATTAGATCTTACTACTTGCCTATAGTTTAGGTCAGAAGTTTCTATACCTTCCATATGGACATTTCTAATGTTATTTTGGGGCTTTTAATGGTTTTTAATTTGACAACTTCATTGTAGAGAAAAAAAAAAAAAGACTGGAGCACCGATTTGGATTTAGTTTTCTGCAATCAACACATGGTCAAAAGTATACATACAGGTTCAGATATAAATATACAAGAAATGTAATTGTCACCACACTATCAATATGTTTTTATGCTTGACATGTTTAATGCAGCATAAAAAGTTTTTGAACATGGCGAGGTGGTCAAGGCATTAAAAAAACTACAACTGAAATATTTCACAGGCATCAGCTAAAAACTTTTGTTTTTTTAAATAAAACCTTACATGGAACAATTTTTTTTCAGGAAACTAGATTATGCACTTAATCTGAAGTCTGTTTGCTATGAACTCTTATTCACTCACCACCAGTCCCTACAGTGACACTGACCAATATTATAAATGGCTTTTCTTTTTTGCTCAACTTATACATCCTAATGTTTTTGGAAATTTTTTTTTTTTTTTTTTTAGATAATCCATATACCAGGTTAAAGCAGAAATCAGAGCTGCACATTTGACCACCATACCTTCTTGTGAAAAATATTTGAGCTTATTTAAATTGGTTGAGTTCCTGTATAGACCTGGATTTTTTTTAAGCATCATTCAAAAATGTTTTATATAATTAAGAAGCTAATTGTTAGCCTGCTTCATCCAATCTAAAACCAGTAAAACCTTGGAACTGATTATAAACTATAAAATGCTTCAAAGTATATGCATGTATTCAATTGAATCCTGTTCCTGGCAAAAGGTTGCATAAGTTTGCCTAATCTTTGTTTTTAATAATCAGTGAAGTATGTTGCCAACTCATTCCATCACAGAACAACTAAAATAAACAATTAAAAGCCCCAAATTAATATAATATTCTTCCCAATTGAGAATGTAATTTAAACTTCAAACAGCGTAGTGTTCTCTCTTTATACTCGCCCACATCCTGTTTCATCTCATTTCTCAATATCAAAAAGTCAAACGTCCTTCTGTATTTCTCAGCAAATTATTTCCTACTTGGTAGTGATGATAGTTACAGTCCAATAGCGTTAATGCCTACATATGTTCACATCACCATCATCGTCGTACACCAGTCTTGCATAAATCCTCAGTAGTGTGGGTAACAGTGGAGGTTCAATACATAAATATCACTTTTAAAACGGGACTAAAAAGTTTTGATTCTATTGGCTCTTCTCCTTTTATTAAGTGAACATGTCGAGTATTCGTTGGCTTGTTCAGATCACGCCGAGTGAGTGGAGCAAAATCTGATTGTCTCTCAGCAGAATGCCACAAACGCATGCCAAAGAAAATGCTTGGCCGGAGATCAGACGCTGGACTCGGCATGTAGTGTTTGGTGTGTGTAGAAAGGCCGGACCCAGAGCCGTGTGGACCGTGCATGGAAGCAGTATGATCGGGTACTATAATATGCCAACCTTTCACACCCTGTAACAGTCCGCGGCGGTAACTCGGGACGCGTCCCACGGCTACGGCTGGTTTGTCCAAATGCGACGGCTCCAAATGTCTTCAAGTCAAACAGAGGGATGTCGGTGGAAGGCAACAGCAGAGAAAGGAAGAGCAAGAGAAGGATAGAAGCTTTCCTGTCCGTCTCCATCCTTCGGATTGCCTCTCATTTCAACAAACTCCAAGCCGCCTGACATCATGCAGGCGCCTCCGTCTCACGACTCCTTGCCCTTCTCCAGGGAGCTGTGGATCTTATCAAGGGTCTTCTTGATGCGCAGCGCTGTGAGTCTGGCAGAGGGGTTCTGGTACCAACACTCCTTCATCAGTTTAACCAGAGCAGAGAGCGTCTGAGGGAGACAAGCGTGCGTTAGAGGAAGCTCCACAATCGATGTCTTCACTACAGCCTTCAGATAAAAACAATGCTTTGGATGATTGCATCGGAAAACTGTTTAGTTCTTATGGGTAATTTTAAGAAGCCTAGGCTCATGAGCTGATACGGCAAAACCTCTTGGCATCTAATAGTGCAGAAACCTCTCGCATACATGAGAAAACAACAGATTGTGAGAAAAAAAAACCTTAGTGCAAACCTGACACTAGTGTTAGCAGAGTCACGACTGCAAAGCCAGTAAAGCAACTTAAGAAAAACTAAACAGAGCACTTAAAACAGAACTAAGTCATTGTAGTTTTGTGCTGTCTTACTAAAGTTACTTCCTTAAATGCTCTTAAAGCAATTCATTTTCTAACTTGTGTCTTTGTGACAAATGTGAGTTAAAAAAAAATAAATACTAAAAAGGTTTTTCTTTTCCTCACCGGATCTGAAAACCAGCGATTAGGAATGAAAGGCCTCTGCTGCTCCACACACACCACTTTCCTCATGTCCTCAAAGCTGGGGTCGTTTGGCACCTGATCGTAAAATGGAGGTCTGTACTCTTCGACGATACCTGCAGTCAGCAGAAAAAAAAACAAAACAAAGAAAAAAAGAGCGAAATTACAAAAACTATTCTAGTCTGCACAGAAGCTGGGACGATTGCGTCACCATGGCACCCGAGCTTCACACATGGCGCTCACCGTTGCTGTACGTGCGCCTCGCTATCTCCCACAGCACCAGTCCGAAGGCCCATATGTCGACCCTCTTGTAGGCGTCGAAGCAGTCGGTCTGAATGGTCTCATCCAGCACTTCAGGTGCCATGTAGCGCTTGGTGCCAACCTTGGGATTGTTGCCCACATCCAGCAGGTTGTCAGCCTGAGTGTGTGTCACAGCCAGCCCTGCAAGTCACACACAGGATCACAGCAAAAGAGCAGGAAGAAAAGGAGAGCTATGTTAATTACACACAGTCTACAAACCTGCAAGTTCTGATAAGGGCAGAATCTGTTATATAAAAAAAATAAATAAATTA